CCTGTGTGTGTCTCTCTCTTCTCTGTCCACTATTACAGTGTTGGTAAAGATTTTAAAGATGACCTGGAGATCTTACTCCAGGGGGTTTCAGAGTTTGACTTCACCGATGGTATAGTAGCTTCTGAGGCACTAATCCATGGCCCGTTAGCCTTCCCCATTGGTACCACTGAGGATGGACAGCCGTTTCTTGCAGGAAGCTACTATGGACGGGGGCGGGTCGTTGTGATCACACATGAAGCGCCTCTGATGTCACATGTACAGTCTGAATTCTTGATTATTATTAGAATGCTGTTTTTCTAAGTTCAATTGAAAACAAGATAAAAACGTTGCTACAGTATGTCAAGTCATTTCCTTTGTACGATTTTAACACTGGAAGTTTGGTTTCTGCTGTGTGCTTATTAACGTTTCATGTTTTTTGCCAAACCATTTTCCATGAGTAAATACTGTCTCTTTTGAAATAACGTGTTTCATTACAGCAACTGGCTCCTTTCTGGAAAAATGCCATCGATTGGTTGGACCAAAGCAGGAAGGGGGTCATTGGTGTTCAGCCTAACCACAATCTTCTCAGCAAGTCAGGGTTAAAGTACAAGGAGACGGCGTTCAGGACAGACCTGAGCGTATTTGTGTGTAGAGCGTACGACAATCAGCCTGTGGAGGAGATCCAAGACTTTGTAGCAGAGGGAGGAGGCCTGCTGATTGGTGGGCATGCGTGGAACTGGGCACAGTCACAACCTGGAAAAAACCCAATAACAGATTTCTCAGGTATGATAATGTTCCATAATAATTTTTGCTATTTCAACCCACTGGCACTAACAAGATGGCATTGTTTGAACCCTGTTTGCTTTGACACATATCAGACACAAGCATGCAAATGCTGCCCATAATTACTGATACAGTGCATGTTTCAATGCCTCAACAGTTATCAGGCACAGACATATAAATACAGATCAACATAATGACTTCTACAGAGCTAAGGGAGAAACACATTTGCTGTTTCAGATAACTAGATAGATAGATAGACAGACAGACAGGCAGACAGACAGACGGATAGCAGCAACTATGCACATATCTACAGTATAAATTATGTGAACCACAAGAATACTCAATATAAAATGTTCTAGATATTTTAGACTGTTGTACAATATATTACAGTAACATATATTAATATGGTAGTATATAAATTACAGTTGTGTAAAGAGCAGTTGTGCCTAAATGTTCATGGCTGTTAATTGGAGGAGGAACCAAAACGATGTAGCTGTGAGTTCTCTGCCAGCCAGAGGTGAGTTATTATAAAGTGTTATGGCATTAGGCAGGAATATTTTTCCTGTACAGTATCTGTCCTTGTGACAGCGGAGCTGGAGCTGTCTGTTGGAGAAGGAGCTCCACTGTCTGTCCAACTGTTGGAGGAGAAGTTGGGTGGGGTTATCCATAATGGACAACAGTTAGTACAGGAAGAATCACAAAGGTGGGGTTTTAAATACAGATAGTTAGCCACGAAAGGACAGATGTTCGAGTAGAGTTGAATGCAAAAAGCCGGGGCTGATATATGGGACCATATAATTTCAGCCGGTGTGAATGTCAGTCAGGCAGTGGAGAACACTAATGACACCATGAGGACAAGATGGGAATGACAGAATAAAAGTTATCAGACACATCAGTCAAATCCGACTAGGTAGGGTGTCATTTCAATGCAACAGGTCTAATATCCGTGTTTATCAGTACAGATCTTTGTTTAAGAATAAACATTCTGGGGCCACTTGGACATGCTTTCAGTGATGAATCATGGGGTTTTAAGGTGTTTAGTTTCTGAGTCAGGTGTTATACTTCTAGAGTAAAATCCGGTGTTACCTGGGTCAGTGATTACGGTCTGAGCATTCTCAAAATCCTCCTTGATTCTGCGGTATAATCACTGTAGGAGAAAATATTGAATAAAAATGACCAGGAACTTATTTCACAGAAATTAAATCAGTTAAAAATGTCTTATCTTCTTTCCGTCTATTTCCCATTTAGCTATAGAAGGTTTAAGAAGGTTTCATCATTGCTATTCTGTTGTTATATATTAGAACTATTTTGGCCATTGCTGCCAATTCATAGCACATCATGCTGTTGACAGTGTTTTTGTCCTTTCTCTCTTTGGTCGATTTTTTGTTGACAGCATTTAGGATTAATTATCCCAGGTCCCTCTTTAAAAAAATAAACATTAGTTTGCAATGTTGGGTTTGGTTTGGTTTTCCATCGGTCTGTTTTGGATCAGTGGAATATCTAGCCAAATCAATGAAACCATGCTGCTGCTTTACTGTATACTGACATGTTACAGATCTCTGATTAACTTACATTTAAGTTATATCATTACCACTTTGGTTATATGGGGATTCTTTTTGACACAGCCCATCAAACCCTGACTATAAAAGCTGGAGTATTAACCCATTAAATAAAGACATGTTTGTTGAACTGTGTTTCAGGAAACAAGATCCTGAACACATTGGGCTTGAGCCTTATGGCGGCAACCATTCCAGGAGGTTCCTACAAGGCTACTGTGCCCAGCCATGAAATGACGTACACCTGCCACTTTCGCAACCTCCTACGCAGCTTTGCTGGTCATGTTACACAAGGCAAAGAACTCTCCAAGCATGAGGGAAAAAAACTTGAAAAACTGGGCATGGAGTGTAGCAACTTCCTGATGATGAAGTCTTATGACAGCTACTCCTACACACAGGTGCTGTCCATCCTCACTGACATTTTGAAGAAGTCTGGCATGCCACAGGTGGGCTGATTTAATATTTCACATGATTGAGTTTAGTATGTGTAAAAAGAGGGATGCTGTTTGTTATTATTTATTCAAGTAATAATTCCTTTTAGGGATATAGTCCATTGTTTTGGTGCATCTACGAAGTTGAACATGTACAAGTAATAAATACTGTTTAATATAAATAATTAGAAAACAATATTCATATTATATCAGAATATAATATTTAGAAGTTAACAAAATGTTGAATAGTGTGTGGTGCCAGTGAATCGGAGATCAGTGTCTTGGCTATTGAGAGAACAGGATTTGTGAAATGGATATGTTTTATTATTTTAAGGTGAGTGAGGAAAACCCTGTAAAGAGTCCAAAAGACCACTTGCTCCTCAGATTGGGGAAAGACGTCTATGATGTGTCCCCAGATCCGGAAGCTCTCCTTTCGTACCTTATCAAGGAGAATCAGACTTTCGTCTATGACCGAAAGCTGAGGATAAGCACTATCACAGCAGGTCAGACCACACTGTTGTGAACAAATGTAAAATAATTGTGAGATAAACTTGCAGACCTTTACTTCGTCTGTATTTAATATAGAATGTAGCATGTAGTGCTGTGTTTTTGATATCTTTGAATTTACATAATGATGGCAGATTTAGTTCTTGTTCATATCCTACATGCACTATAACGTTTGCTGCTCTTTTTGTGTGTCAGATGAGAATGAGTGGATCAGTACGGGTCTGTACCTCTCTCCTGGTATGAAGACAGAGATGATACTACCAGCAAACATCGTCAACAAGAACTGGACGGTACAGTACATAAATCATATAGTTTTCATGTGTTTGATGCAAATTTAGAATACCAATTCAGGTCCACTCTTATCAATTATTCCCCAAATCACAGATTTTCCATTGAAAGCAATATAATCTTTGAAATGACAACACTCTCTAAATATTTATATTAAGTAAGATTTATTAATATTATATACATATCTATGTCAGACATATCAACAAATCAATTTTGCAATCAACACCTGCAACATTGCAAGGCCTTTTATTCATTGTTATCAGGTTAAAGAGATCTTTTGGGCCTTGATAAGTAAAAGTTGCTGTAATTTGTTGAGAATACAAGGTTAATGTTGACGTGAAAGGACCAAGGAAATTAGATAGTTCTGTTCTCACATACGGTCCTACAATGCGGCCATTGATTTATGCTAGAATAGCCCATTTTGTGTCCAATGGTGTTCTTCAACTGAAAAATCAAACTACAGCACAGCAGATTTTATAAAGAGGTTTTCAAAGTAGCAACATGTTCTATATCTCCCTTAGATCCTGATAGGTTGCCAAACAGACTACTTGCCTCAGGATGAGTTGAAGAGAGCAAGATCTGTTTGTGGGCGATTTCCTGTCACAGCAGAGAAGATGCAGGTGTGGAACCTGTGGGGGGGACTCATCTACCTGGTGGCTCCACCCAACACAAAGGTGGAGGGGGCAGAGGTCGTGGTGCAGATTGCTATGCCTGCTCCTTACTACAAGTCTGGTGAGTGTGTGTTAAAATCTGCCCGTGCTCTTCAGATAAACGTATTGACATCTCTAGTTTATTCCTCACAAAAGATTTAAAGCCTATAACTGGATTAATCTTTTAGGGGCAACATTTTCTATTAGGTCAATGTTGACTCCACTCAGTTTAAACCTTAATGGTAGTTTTGATACACAAAAAAAGTCAAATTTAATTAAATAAATAATGTACTCGAAGATTCAAAAGTTTGGAAGCTCCTGCTAAAAAACCATGATAACATGAGATGAAAAGACTACTGTATATTTGTAATTATAAAACGGACAAGTCAAATCAAGCAATCTGATTGGTTCTTAGCCGTGATATACTGAGCGTATACCATGGGTAGAATTGTAAGTTACTTTTCACAACAAGTCAGTATCCCTCCGCGTCTGAGAAAAACAGTATACCGTTGGGCTGAAAAGCAAACTGCCTGCAGTTTGCTTTTCATACTGGAACAAGAAAGCAGCGGAGAAGTAACGGGGCAGAAGCCCTCCTTTTTGACGCAGCGGTCCAGACATAGACATCAAACGGCAAAACATATTCAGTGTGCAGTTCCTTTGGCATTAGGGCAGGGATATCTAGATACTTTTGAAGGTTTAACATAATGAATTGTGCTACTTTTAAAGCAAGCAACGATGTTTTCAAATCTGTAATCAAAGAGGTCCGCAAAAACGCTATCGACCAATCAGATTGCTTGATTTGACTTGTCAGTTTTATAAATATATTTAAATTTCTTCCGTTACGAAACAAACTTACAAAGCATAAAATGGAAACATTTAAGATTAACTTCGACNTTTTAAGCAACACATTAGTTGACGAAACACCTCAACTCAAATGTAATTAAAGTCAGATCCACTCGTGTCTTAGATGGGGCAGTGATATCATAAAACTGTTGTACGCTTTCAAACACTCTGTAGTTATTTTTTAACCAGTTGTTCTGTATTCTCCTTGCAGGTGCAACTATGTGGCTTGTATCCTGGATTATATGTTTAAGTCATGGATGTTTAAAGTTCATATTTTTCTAATATTAGTTTACTTTACATTAATGAAGTATGACGCTGCGTTGTCGTAGGACCGCTTAGCGAGATCTCGTTTGTTAGGACTAGTTAAGATAACTCAAACATATCCAGGGTCTGTTGAACTGGCTTCGTAGTACAGGGCACAGGTGGCTGCATAGCAGCGCTAATGTCAAAGACACAAACATTATATCTTTATTTTATCAGGATGCAGTGACAAAAGTATTTGGGAAGGCTTAGCCTTCCCTATCCTACAGTACCCGCCGCCCCTGGTTGAATGGGATTTTTCTGTGGTCACAGGATTAAGCATATTAAGGCAATACCTTGATTGTTTGCTCACAATACAGTGTGCTTTTCACATTCAAATTAAGTTTTTCAAGCCATTATTATTTTTGCCCTCACCTTATCACAATGAGGGAGAGGGATCAGTTTTTCTTATTATTCAAATTCATTTATTTGAAGGTGAGTGTGAAGAATCCTGTGAAGAATCCGAAAGACCACCTACTCCTCAGTGTGGGGACAGAGGTTTATAAGGCGTCCCTGGATCCTGATGCTCTCCTGCCGTACCTCATCAAAGATATTCCTGTGTTGCCAGTTGTCAAAGAACACAGGATCAGGATTACTGTTAACACAGCAGGTCAGACCACATTGTTGTGAACAAATGTGTAAAATTATTATGAATTAATTATTCAGACCTGTAGTGAACACATGAAGAAGCTAAAAGGTCTCTTCTGCGTTTCATGCACACCTGTGCCTAACATTTTTGCTGCTCTGTGTTTGTGTGTCAGATGAGAATGAGTGGATCAGTACAGGTTTGTACCTCTCTCCTGGTATGAAGACAGAGATGATCCTACCAGCAAACATCGTCAACAAGAACTGGACGGTACAGTACATAAAATCATATCGTTTTCATGTGTGTGATGCAAATTTAGAACACCAATTCAGGTCCACTCTTATCAATTATGCCCCAAATCAAAGATATAATCTGTAAAATAACGACACAATATTTACATTGAGTAAAATGTATCAATAATATATATTTATGTTGGACATATCAATAAATCATTTTTGCAATCAACACTTGCAAAATATCAAGGCCATTTATTCATTGGTATCAGGTTAACACGGTATTTTGCGGCCTTGATAGGGAGAAGTTGCCGCTGTAGTTTGTTGAGAATAAGGTTAATGTTTATGTTATAAAACCAATGAAAACAGATATTTCTCTTCTCTCTCTCACACACTTTCCCGCCATGCTGCCATTGATTCATGCTAGAATGGCCCATTATGAGTCCAATGTATATACTTCAACTGAAAAATCTAAATGCAGCACAGCAGACTTTATAAACATGTTTTCAAAGCAGCAACATTTTCTATATCTCCCTCAGATCCAGATAGGTTGCCAAACAGACTATCTGGAACATGATGAGTTGAAGAGAGCAAGGTCTGTTCATGAGCGATTTCCTGTCACAGCAGAGAAGATGCAGGTGCGGAACCTGTGGGGGGGGCTCATCTACCTGGTCATTTCTTATTAATTCCGTACGGACTATTCGGATGTGGGTGAGTGGCTGAACTTTTCTTCCGTGCGTGGTCGGTTGCCTGGGTGCTGAGAAGGGGAAGGATAGACACA